TATAATGACCAGATTTAACTAAGGTTTTTATTTGCATGTAAAAATTGATCAATGCACATAAAATATGATAAACAGAAGCTCAAGCTTGCATTAAACTGCTTGATTCATATCTTTTTTCTATATGGTTCATTAAAAACCACCCTTATTTGTGTTTCAAAGACAAATGAAAGTTATATGGTTTTGGAACAACATTAGGATGACAAATTTCTTCTTTTAGGTGAGCCCAAATAGGAGTTCTGATGAGGAGCCATAGGCTGTTAGGCATTGTTACTGGGACTAATCAATCACACTACAAGAACCCTCTGAGTCTGTATGTTGTGCTATATATACATTGCTTTTAAAAACACACAATTGCATCATGTTTTTATCTCTCTGAGTGACTGAGATAAAACAGAAATATGATAGCCTCCAAGACCTTCAAAAGAGGCCTGCTGATAACTTCTGAGGCTCATTTCTTTGTCCAAGATTAGGTCTCTAAATAAAGAGCAAACCATTTTGGGTTAGACATCAAAACACAGAAACATTGATGAAGTGACAAATACAGCATCTTCAATAGTTAGCCACATAAATGCACTGGGATTGAGGTATATCATGAAAGATAATGTAATCAGGTATAAACTCTGAGGGTTCCTGAGTCAAAAGTATAACCAAAAGTGATTTCACAAAGGTCTAGTAGGAGTCTCTCATACAAGAGGCCTTTGTTTACTTCATCCCACACCGACTTTAGGAATAACTCCCTCAGGTGGAGTGGTGCACCCAAAAAAAAATATATATATATATCACAGAGCCACCTTGTGTTCAGCCTACATGACTGATAAAGAACTCAGTCATTGCCATGTTGAGCTCAAGTTTGCACAACTTTCACAGACCGAGTTTTAAATATTGTATACCCTACAAGTTGTCCTGGAGGAGTGGGACCATTTTTTTTCTAACGAATTCCTAAATATATGGTTAAGCTTATTTTACAAAACATTATGCATTGCAGTTTTGCAAACCTCAATATAAGTCCAGGAATATTAAAACACCCCACCCCCCACCCCCCCTCCCCTCCCCTCCCATAGCTTCTTCAATAAATATAACAAGACTAAAGAGTGTCACTCACCATCAAAGCTGCCACTCTCTGAGCAGGCGGTGAGAAGCTTCCCATATGTCTCATTGGACGGGCGGAAGACGAACACACCAGAGTTGAAGCAATCAGGCCAGCCGGGATCAGGTGCAGCAGAGAGCTCCTCTCTCTCAAATAACTCATCTATGTTAGACAAAACCTGGCGACAAGAGGGAACACTGTTAAACCCTCAAAGACATCATGAAAACATCACTAGCAGCACTGAGAGGCAGGACTCACTAGGGTATCTGCATCCATAAACACGCATTTGGAGTATTCTGTAAGAGTCCAGCAGTGAAGTTTGGTGAAGGTGACGCCCAGGTCAGGCCGCTTCATCAGAGCCAAGTGTGCAGCATCCCCACTGTCCAACACGTCCACCAGCCTGACCTCATCATAGACTTTACGAAGCACTGCTCTGAAATGTAGCACACAGAGCACAAAGTGAGGTTGACTGATCTATAGATAACACTCTGCACTGTGGACCACAACAAATACCCTATGTGACTGTAAGCAAGGCAGTTGAAACCCCATTTACTTGTGCTGTGCTAAAAACACACAGCAAACACTCTACCTGGAGGGTTCTGAGACATGGGGGCCAATCATGGCCACTAGTTTCCTCGATGTGTTGTGGTTCCTCAAGGACTTGCCAAGTACCATTGCTCCTTTGGCATAGCTGTCAGTTGTAGCAAGGGTGACAAAAGCCTGGTCTGGATTAAACAAAAACACAATCATCACCATCATTTATGCATTCTCATATGTAATATCTTTATATTGCATATACAAAATAGCCATTATCAACCTTATTTTAAAACGAAAGAGTGGGTGCAGCCATTTTTAATTTGGAAGTGCCTGACAAAGGAAGCCTGGCAAATTAATTTGTTTTAACTGTAGAAAATGGTCTGTTATGCTGCTTAATAATGCAAACTGGTATTTGTTATATTTCAATTTATTATCGTAATCATCGTAGCCTAAATAGTTTTACCATTTACTGCACTTTGTTATTCTTTGTGTTACTTAAAGTTGACATGAAACGGAATTTGCGATTCTTTTCCTCATTATTTGTGACAGACATACCTGTATTGAAACTAGTTTCTGCCACGGAATAAAAAAATAAAAAATTGTGTATATATATATATATATATAGACTTTCTTTTTTTCTCTCAACAATTTACAATTCCGACTTTATTTTTACTCATTTTACTGACTTTTATCAGAATTCTGAGGGAAAAAAGAATTGCAAATTTATATTACGCATTTATGGGGGAAAAAGTCAGAAAGTCGCAATTACCTTTTTAATTATTTTTTTATTCAGTGGCAGAAACAAGCTTTCATATGTCCGAATGAAACGGTTTCTCGAACAAGAAAAAAATAAAATTGTAGGGTGAGACTTGATTTTGTCTAAATTTTGATTTTGGTCTTGAAATTGATTGGATCATTGTGGTTTGCTAATGCGGTGTTCTCATGACAGGTCGTCGCCGTCCCGCCCTCGAGCCAGTAAACAACACCAGAGGAAAGGAGAGAGTCATTAAGGGAAGTTATTTTTATTCAAGATTACAAGTGTATGTGAATTAAATAATGACGTGGTGCGTGGATAAATTATGTATAAATACCGCAGTACGCCATACAAAATTGTAAAAGATTTCCATTTTGATGTAATTGCAACCTTAATAAATCGGAAGTCTTGCATTGAAAAAGGTGAATACAACAGTTAGTTCAACTCCTTTGATTGGCCAAGCGTCGTTGATCACTCCTCTTGACAAAGAGCTCAATTTTTTCAGACCAGCTTATGTGATGATGCGGATTTGCGGAGTGAAACGGATTTTGAAAATCACAGCGTACATGTTTTCATGATTTCCATCACTAATGAGAAACCACAAAACCCGGAGTGGAGCTGGACGGACGATAACAGAACGGTTTGAGCGAAGGGTGGAATTATATGTCACGTCGCAGCACTCGTTTGGTATTTTGAACAGATGACACTAAACAGGCGTGGAGAATAACGTACATAACTTTCATGCTGTTATTTCGTGTGCCAATCAATGACTATTGCACAACAACAACTTTAATGTTGGCGTTAATTTAAAAACAACTTATGCACTAGCGCATGTTAACGTTAGATAAACTGATTGCAATACATCCGAGCGAGGGAAAACGCTCTTTTAGCACCGTACTCGCTGTGTGATCGATAGCCTACTCTCTGTACTATCACACTGAAATCACCCGGGATAGAAGTGACAAACTAACGGCAGCTCTTCCTGCATGACAGGCCAACGGCTGCACGCATACTGCGTACAAGAGGCGACTAGGCCATTTACGCAATATAGCACACTCTAAACTGTTTACATCGGCAAATATTACAGGACAACGCAGTCTACACAATGCTGAAATGATATGAAATGTAAGCTCTAATATCCAACGAGTCCTGCGACCTCTGAAGCAGCGCGTGGTTTGGACTACATGTTACTTGCGTAAACACAACTGTAATTTACTTCATTTTACCGGCACAGACGATATGTGACGTCCATAATGTTGCCTACCTGCCATGACTCATGTAACAGCTAGACCGAACCGGATACAAGTCCACTGTTAGAAACGCTGGGAGAGAAGCAGTACGTGTCTGACAGAGGATTTATACTAGTGACATGACTTTACATGGTCACATGACCCCTGACAACAGACACGCCCCCCACACTTACCACTCGCTTTTAACATTTCTGTGAAATACACTTCAAAACTCACATTTTTAAATATGTAATTTAAAGTGATAAAGGTTTTAGTTCATGTTCGAATGCAGCTCCTTATTGTCTTAGTAGTGTCGTCTAATTTACTTCACAAACATTAAAAAATAAAATAATTTGAAGCCATCTAATGATTACAAAGCCTTGAATTAGTCATTAATTGAGGATACTTTCATATATTTATTTTTTGTTTTCCTGTTAAAAGATACCACTTAACCTATACATTTTTCAGACTCAAGTACATTATATAGAATAAAATATTGAAAAATACCATTTATCAAAAGAATACTCAATTTTACCAAGACCTTTTTTGGAGTAGCTACATTATGATGGGAACAAAATAAAACTTTTTATTATAGATTATCATTTATATCAAGACAGTGATGGTAACCATGATAGCACAGCAGATGTGAAAATGACTATATCCTGTTGGACCCCATGACAATCTAATCCAGAGGTTTTCAAACTGGGACCCGTAGACCCCCAGGGGGCCACAAGGGAGTGCTAAGGGGATACTGTGGAAAAGTTTAGATTCATAGAGAATTAATAGATTAGAAACATAAAACTATTGGTGTTACAGAATAAAATACTTGTGGGTATAGAGTTAATAGAAACGTAAACGTACTGTTACTAGACAGTAAAGTGTCCAGATATACATATTAATATTTTTATTTATGTATAAATTCTAAATAGATTAATTATTATGCATGGGTCTTTACTGTACATGAATTATGAAGGATCATAAAAAACTTTGAAAACCCCTGGACTGATCAATAGGTCTATGAGACGCATGAACCAGGGTAACAGAGTACGTGATGAAACATAAAGGTATTTAAAAGAGACACTTTTTCAGCTTTGGTTGATGAAAAAAAAAAATGTATATATATATATATATATATAGATTCAGCATGTTATGGTCCCTTTGGCAGGCAAGGTGAAAAGTTGGTCATAAAATTGCTTTGACAAAATGCTGTAGGACAGAATTTACATAGACCAGCATATCAGTAATGACAGTTTGCAGTGTATTTACACTGAACTTACACACTATACCCTAAAAGACTTTTAGAAAGAGTAATCACTATAGTTTGTTCCCATTCCAGTATCAAGTGACAGAACACAATAAACAAGTTATCTTCTGAATTGAATCAATGATCCCTTCTTGTTTTCCTGGTTTTCTCATGTGGCTTTAGGTAGCGAGGAGGTTTTAATGACGGAGAGGTGGAAAGACTCCGTGGCTCGATACGAGAGAGAGCTCATCTTGGAGCTGAGGGTGGGGTGAGAGGCCACAGAAGTCGAGGAACACCTCAACAGCTTCAGCAAGTTCTTGCGAAAGTTCTTCCCAACAAAACCGTACAGGATTGGGTTCATACAGCTGTTGAAAAAGGCAATGCAAATGGTGAACGGCATTCCGGTGTCAATGATCTCAATGACATCGCAGTTGGTGATCACTTTCAGCAGAAGAAGCATGTCCATGAAGTTGAAGATCTGATGCGGTGCCCAGCAAAGGAAAAACGACAGCACAGCGGCGGCCAGCATGCTCAAGACCTCGTCCCCGTTCGATCTCGAATTCCTCTGAATGTCCCGCGCTTTGAGCAGAGCCCGACCGATCAGGCAGTAGCACGTGAGGATGATGGTGATAGGCAGAATGAACCCAAGAACACTCTTCATCAGACTGAGAGTTACCAGCACATTGGGAATATCTCCTTTGTCTAGGATGCCACATACAGTGACATTGATATTCTGGATCAAGTGGGTTTTACGGATAAGGGCTGTGGGCAGGCTTAAAAGAAAAGCAACTATCCAAACCAAGATGCACGTCACACGGGCGTAGACCACCGTACGGCACCGCCGGGACCGGACGGGATGAACGATCGCCAGATACCGGTCAATGCTGAGAGCGGTGAGGAAAAAAACACTAGTATATAGATTAAAGAGAACCATACCAGCAATGGCTTTACATAGGAAGCTTCCAAAAAGCCACTGGTAGCCTGTTGCGGTGTATATGGCCCAAATGGGCAGGGTTAGGAGGAAAGTCAAGTCTGACACGGCTAAGTTCAAAACAAATATGTTGGCAACAGTCTTCAGTTTCAAACAGAAGTAGATGACAGTGACTACCAGGCTGTTGCCTACAATTCCGATAATAAAGTTGCAGCTGTAGACTATGGGGATGAACATGAAGATGAATTTGTGGTTCCCGGTCATGTTACACGTGAGATTGAGTCCCAAATTACGGTTAGCAGTAATGTTGTCCATTTTGTAGACTTATTTTCACAGCCTAAAGAGTTGCATCAGTAAAGGAGCCCTGTAAGAGCAGAGTGGATAAAGATGGTTAATATGACAAAAATGTTCCATGCATTTTCTCAACAGGTTTTTTATATCCATTTGGAAGGTGCGATACTATACAACAAACACCAGATGTCTCTCTGCTAATATTATTTAATATGGGCCCCTGAATAAAAGTGAGGTGTTTTTTCCTCCTCCATATAAGCTCCATATTCTCCTATATTATACTCTATGAGCCATAAATCCTGATGTATGAAATATGATATTCAAAATCAAACACATATGCAAACGTTTCTTTGTCTGATTTAGATTGTCATTTAGATTCTGTCTAAATGTTCGAAAAATTGAATTAGATTTTTTGAACTATTTCATGTCAGATAGATGGATAGATGGATAGATGGATAGATAGATAGAATTAAGGCTGGTCACCCTCTCAAAGCTGCACCCACATCTGTACTATAATGGGAACGGGCTGCTTCTCTTGGGTGAACTTCTGACCTCTCCGAAAGGTCAAACATGTGTTTCTAGCTGGTTATATCTTATGAACGCTAGATTCTCGCCATCACAAAGGGAAGAGCAACATATTTTTTTTATTTTCAGATTTGATCTCTTCTTCCTACGAGCATACTTACTTCCTACGAGCATACTTAGACATTCGAAATGGCTTCATATCCAGTATGTTGATATATTAAATATGTTATGTCCATATTGTATGCTGTATGTAATGTATCATGAATAATTGTATCATAAATAACTGGTTTAAAGAAAACCTTTTTTTTTCTGGAATAACCCATCAAGGAAATTTCTTGGTAAGTGTAACTCGGCCAATAAAACTGAATTCTAATTCTGCATTTATTCCGTATTAGCATTTAAAATTGCGACAAACCACATATTATGTAAGCGACCAATAACAGAAGACATGGCATTCCAAGGTTCATGTCTTTTGAATATCACTCAATCTATTTTAATATGCTTATCAGACATCCGCTATTGCTCAGGAAGTTATGGCTAATAGAATACTGTAATTAATTATACCGATAAGAGATCTTTGTTTTTGTTTTCATTTATTTGTATTTTGGTTGTCTAAGAAAATCTTTGTCCTCCCTACAATGATGGATATGATCAGCCCTGTTAACAAAATTGAGTGAAGGAAAGTTTATGCATTCAAACTGTGATGGAGTAACAATAACATTAAAGTCCTCTGAAATTGTACTTACATTGACAGAGAATCTTAATGTGCTGAGCTGAACACATGAAACATTGACATCAATGGTAGGTTAGTAGTTGCAAAGGCACTGTAGGCTATATGACCAGACAGACAACAGAGCACACACACACACACACACACACACACACACACACACACACAAACATTAGATACTGCTTTATAGTTTAAAAAAATGCTATGAAACATTTACTGTGTGTTATCTGAAGGTAAAACATAATCTGAAATGCATGTTCTTTGTTAACTCACAAGCTTACTCATCTATTTGGGTTCTGATTAAATATTGTGATTGAAGGTAATAATTAGAAATATAATAACATAAAACCGTAGATAAAGACGGGGGGGAAAGGCAATTTTTACCTTTAGTGAATGTGACATCCAAGCTGCTCCATCAGTTCCAAAATGTAGCGTTTAGCTTTAAGAGATACGTCCTGACTCTCGGTCATGACAGAGTGCCCGGTGCATTTCCTCTACGCCCCTCTTATACCTCTCCCATAGTCCTACAACTACACCAGGGACCCACAGCGGGGGCTGCGCTGTGGGGGCCGGATACGTCCATGGTCATAAGCAAAAAGTGGGGGTGAGAGAGAGAGAGACCCTTGAGGGCAGAGACAGATTTTCCCATGATTTGTTTGGGCACCCTTTTCTCTTTAACATGAAATGTCCTGTTCTCTTTCCACACACTTGTAAACAAAATTTCTTCAATGGATTGTTTGGCAAAAAGCCTCAACATTAGCATATGACACATTAAATGATTATCCAAGCTTTAAGCACATAACAAAAAAGGTAAAAACTGGTATAGCGAGGCAGCATGGGCATTTACATGATTCATTCTGAGGGCTCTATATTAATGCATTTTATCAGGACGAGGTATTAAACCTGTGAAATGAACAGCTTAATATATAAATGGCCTTCTGTGAATATTAAAGCAAGCTCACATAGCTGAATAATAATGCATTCAGCCACTTTCATAAAGCATGAGGAAAACATATTGGACATTATGTTGATGTCTATTGTGAAAGAGACCAAGCAGGAAAAGAGTGATTCAGTGACATTACATGCTGCAGACAGAATCAAATAAGGTACTGGAATAAATACCATTGCAATGTTTTTAAATAGCGCTTTTCACATTATAACACACTATATTTTCCAAAGCACATATGAAGCCATGGACATTTTTTAAATAGTTTCTTTTAAGTACGAGTTTAAAACTACGTACTTTTTTTAGTGACTGTCTACTATTAATCTTTCCCTCATTTTTTGAGGCCTCTGGGGACTCCGGCCTCTGGTGCCTGTTTTACTAAGAACTCCCAAGGGCAATTCCAACTGCTTCATCATTGGTGTTTTCACTATTCCGCTGCAGGCCTTTCATCTCTTCCCTTAAACAGTCAGTCAAAGTGGCTAGTTTGCATGCAGCACTAAAGGTCTAGCGAACAAACAAAACTTAGTGATGTCATGACTAAAAGCAATTCAATTGTGAGAGAGTTGCTTTAAAATATGATTTCTCAACGTAATGAGAAACATCGTGCTAATCTGTTCCACTTTTAATGCAGCTATTTTGTACCAGAAATGCTGTAGAATGGAAACTTAACATTCAGAGCATCGGGAGACTTTCTCTCTAATGTTTGGACAAAAAAATACTACTACTAGATGTAACTAGAGGTGGCTCTAAATGGTACAGTATATAATTGAGAACATAATAGAATTTTGATTGTTTTTTTATGCAAAAAAAAGTGACAATAAATATGGTCAGTTTAACAGTGACACAAAAGGACTGCCCAGAGACAGAGAGTGCGGTGCATAAGTCTCATGGTAAGTGGATTACGTATTGCTGCATCAATAGAAGGCTAATTCAATACACTCATGTGCTCAAAAGTTAATGTTGCCTTCAGGGAGCAATGTGGATGCTGATGTCTGCAGTTCCCCTGCCACTATTAAGGATATTTATTCCACCTGTTTGTTTGGGTAAATGTTAAAGAGCACATATCTAATAGTAATCAGAATTCTGTTGATATAGTAATCAAAATGATGTTGATATTAAATATTGGATCTATTGTAAATGTAGTTTTAATCATAAAACAAGGGATAATGTACAATCAGACTGACTGTATACATTCATCTTGCTGACTAAACAACTACTCACCAAATGAATAAATAGGTGGGCATGAAATATTGAATCTTACTTGTATATTTAAGGAAAAATTGTTTATTACAATGTACAAAACAGAAAGTTGTGTCTAAGAATATAGCCTAGTGCAAATTCGGAAAAAACTTCTGTAGGCCTATATTACAGTCAGTTTTACTTGTTTCTGGGGGAATAAGCAACTAACTATATGGATGACGAGACAACTGGATGCCCGGATTGACCAATCAGAATCAAGTAGTGGAAAGAGCCGCGTAATAATGCTAAACAATCTTTTTTTTACATCAAGACGTATAACCTTACGACTAATTTAATGCAATCTCAGATGAAAATGAGATTTTTTAAATGATCTATAATAGCCTAGTCTAAAACTCACATCTCTGATTCCCATGCAGCTTTACCCTGGAGAGCACCACAGTTTGTCCACACCTAAATCAACATGGCCATCCCGAGGCGAAGCAAAAACCAAACACACCAACAAACCCTCAGGGACTTTTAAAGTTTGTTTGCATAGATATTTGAGATTTTCATGTTGTCTCCCAAAAACACATTTGTCCTCCTGATGGTGCTAATAAACAAATATGTAATATTTTACATAATATAGGTGTTGGATTTTTTCTTCTCAACTTAAACTACCGTAAGGCAGTAGGCCTATATGAAAAGAAGTAAAAGTCTAACCAATCTCTAGTCTAGAGGCAAACAAGAACGTTTAGCTAAAATATTTATAAATTATTTATTTACAATAGCCAATATATAAAACATTTGCCGTTGTTTACCTCAATGCCGGGTTATGAATTTGTCATACATGCTTGACATAACAACACGAGTCAGTCTTGGGGTCCTAACCTTTACCCTCTGCTGCCACTGCTGATGTGAGTCACATACATGAGAAAAACATCCTGGATGACACTACTGTACCATTCCCACCTTACTGTATATGTCCCACTTAGACTGCCACTGTGGAGCAAGGACATAGTGGTTCTCATGGAGGTACACAATATAAAGTCTAATGCAGACTTGGCAAGCACTGCATTATCTACTTAGGCCTATTGTTTAGGCTACTGCTCACATGCATTCCCCTCATGCAGTCTGCAGCTTTTGATATGCCTTGTTGCTCTTCTGTCAACACCAACTGAGGAATTCTGATGAAGAGCAGAGCCTCACTACCCAGAGTATCTCCTCCAATCACCCTATTCCTCAGTAAAGTCATGAGAGAATATTACACACACAAAGAATGGCAAATATATAAGCTGAGTCATGACGATATGCAAACACATAAATCGGCCTTCTCATGCTTTTAACTGCCCAGAGGAAATGTTTTATTGCTGAAAAGTTGCTCTTTTGTTACTCAGGGGACCTTTTAAATGTTTGTGGATGATCATTGTTTCAATTAGTTTTTCCCCAACAATTCCACAGATAAAATAAAAGATTATATAAAAAAAAGAAATACAGTAAGCACATACACAAATATTTTTTCATTTTTTTCATTACACAAGATATAATAAAAATTCTAAAAACTCAATAGAAGATGCATGTATGAGTATCTTGTTGGGAGGAGAAGTAGAAGACTTAAATGGATAGTTCACCCAAAAATTTTAATTCTGCAATCACTTACTGACTGAACACAAAATATAATATTTTAAAGAATGTTGGTAATCAAAAAGTTGACGGTAGCCATTGACTTCCATATAGGAAAAAAAATACAATGGAAGTCAATGGGGCCCATGAACTGTCTGGTTACCAACATTCTTCAAAATATCTTCTTTTGAGTTCAACAGAAGAAAGATACTCATACAGGTTTGGAACAACATGAGGGTGAGTAAACGACAAAATTTTCATTTTTGTGTGAACTATCCCTTTAAGCACAAGTTTCCATTAGCTCTGTATTTATCTCATTGGTGTCTTGCAAAAAACAAAAATACATATATTAAAAAGATGGTCCTATCTGGGGAAGTTAATCAAGTTTCAGTCTATCAGGAGCAGACTAGATGTTATTGTTACTAACATTAGGGCATCGTTGTTATTGTCCTATTGTAATTATGCTAGTCACCATGGAATCAAAATGGACAATTCTTGTTTTTTATGGAATATTGCAGCATTTGTAAAAAAAAAATTGTTTATCCATGCACATCATTCATTTTATTTACTTCATGTCCTCGTAATCAAAATAACTTCCCCTCACTCTTGCAGTGACATCTCTTTTCTGATGTTGTTTACTGGCGTGAGGGCGGGACAACCTGTCACTCACATGACATCCCAGCAACAGCAAACCACAACCATACAATCAGTTTCTGATGGACAAAATCAAGTCACATCCTACATTTTTTCTTGTTCGAGAAGCCGTTTCACTCAGAAATACATCACAAGAGGGATGAAAAGACTATCGCATCTTCTGTTCTCTTACGAGAGGTTCTCTCGTACTGCGTAATATCTTACGCTAGGGGAAAACCTCTTTTCTACGAGATATTGAAGACAAAATTTTGAATTAATGTAAAACGCATTGCGGCAGCATGCAGACATAGGCAAGACCGCTCGCGTGTCTATTGGCTGTCCTGCGGCAACTGCAGCAGCCAATCGAGAAAGGTCCTTGGTGACGTCAGATCCAATGGGGGCGCTTCGCACCCACTACGTCATGTCCCGCCGAGATGGGCGTGGCCTGGGCCTATAAATACAGCTCGATGGGCTTATATAATCAGATTTTTCATCTCTTCAGCGAAGCTCACGCATCGCAGGATCCTGAGTGAAGAAGCCGTGCCGTCTGAAAAAAAGCCTTCTGCTGGACAAGCCTTTGCATCTGAAGCCGCTGGCCTTCATCTCGCCGCCTTCAGTCGCCATATCTGTTACACTTTCCGGCGCATATATCCTTTGACTCTGCTGCATGTGTGTTCGCTGCCGCGACTCACACACTCTCTCTCTCTCTCTTAAAAGAGCTAGCGTCTTTTTAAAGAGGTCTCATTCTTGTGGCTCGTGCCGAGCCGCACTCAGTGACGGGGACCACCATGTCATCTGAGTTTCCTGCCTGGGTGAGAATCATGCAGCTCTCGCGCTCGCTGACGGCGGCTGCCATCATTGCGAGCTATTGCCTATGGCAACTCTGAGGACTCGCCTGGCTTTTTTCTCAGAGACTGCACCTCCACCCGCTATAGTGCCGCGCCGTAAAAAACGCCGCACTCAGTGGGTCCCCGAGCCTTCTCCAGCATGCGAAAGCTCGCCGGTTCGCCCGCCAGCTTCGCCAGCTTCACTCGGGTCGCTCACCGACAGACAGCGCCCGCTGTCTGCCGTCCGCCGCCGCCGCTTCCGCCATTGATGACGACGAGCCAGCTGCATCTGTAGAGGAGGCCAGCTGCTCTATCCTGGCGTCGGACAGTGAGGATTGGGCGAGCTCTGTGGATCTTTCCCCTCTGCCCGCGAGTCATCAGGGAAGCGGGCCAGCATCGAGTCAGAGCTGATACGTCTGCTCTCACAGGCCGTGGCGAGCCTCGGCCTCAAGTGGGAGGCGCCCGCGCAGCCCGCGCACAACAGGCTGGATGGATGTTTCCTGAAAAGGGACCGCGCCCCGCCGTCTTCTAGGCCCGCGCCTTTTCTTCCTGAGCTTCATGAAGAAGTCGCGAAGTCCTGGAACGCCCCCTTCTCAGCCAGAGTGCGCACCTCTTTCTCAGCAGCATTCTCCGTGGTGGACGGTGCTAAAGACAGAGGATACCTCTCTCTTCCTCCAGTGGAAGAAGCTGT